CGCCGCCCTCCCGGCGCGCCGGTTGCTGCTGGGCCTGGAGCACGCGCTACTGCTGGCGGCCGGCGGGGCGCTCTTCTCCTGGGGCGGCGGCAGGTGAGCCCGGGCGGGCGGAGGGCCGGGGCGTGTGTGGCGGAGCAGGACCCAGCGCCCTTCCGTCTCTGCGCAGGCACGGGCAGCTCGGGCACGGCGACCTGGAGAGCCGGCGGGAGCCGCGGGCGGTGGAGGCGCTGCAGGGCTTGGCCGTGGCGGAGGCGGCGGCGGGCGGCTGGCACTCGGCGGCCGTCAGCGGTAAGCGGCGCTGGGACGGGCGAGGCGGCCCCTTCCCTGGGCAGACGGCGAGCGGGGGAGCCCCCCGACGGCCACTCACCCTCCTCCCCTCTCCAGATGCGGGCGACCTGTACTTGTGGGGCTGGAACGAGTCGGGGCAGCTAGGGCTGCCCTCCAAAAAGGCCAGCGAGGCTGCAGTAGCAGCCGCCGAGGAGGCCGGTTCGGACCCGCGGAATCGCCCCCTTTGCGAGCGCAGCGTTGCTCCGGGCAGCGACAGGCTGGAGGCGGGGGCTTCGGACGGGCCGGGAGGCGACGAAGCGCCCTTCGTCTCGGTGCAGGCCTTCCCCGCCCTGCTGGACTTGCCCGAGGAGGCCGAGGTGCGGCGGGTCAGCTGCGGGTCTCGACACACGGCCGCCGTGACGGGTGAGCGGGGTGGGTCGGTTGGGATGGCGGGCGAGCAGAAGGGCCACGCCTGGGACTTGGGGGTTCCACCCGCAAAGGCCCTCCTCGCAAACCGGGGGAGATGGTCGCTCGGGGGCTCCCGTGGGGGGGGGGGGAGGAGGGGGCTAGAAAGCCGCCCTTCTCCAGCTCTACCCTGCCCTCATGGCAGCCCTGGCTGCAAAGGGAAGGCCTCACCCTTTTCCTTTCCTTTTCAGGGCCCGGCCATCTCTACACCTGGGGCTGGGGTAGGTGAGGCGCTTGGGAGGCTGGGGGGCTTGGCCAGAGGTTTTGGGGGGCCAACAGTTGCTTTTCTTCCCAGGGAAATATGGTCAGTTGGGGCACCAGGACGCAGCCACCTCTGACCGGCCAAGGAGAGTTTGCTACTTTGTGGAGAGGAATCTCAGGGTGCAGGATGTGGTCTGTGGGCCGTGGAACACCTTTGTCCAAGCTGCGGCTGCCAAGAGTGGGCCATGAAGAAGCCATGTCCAGCAGGCCTTTCCCTGGAGGCTGAGCAGCCTCACAGAGCTCCATCTTGATTCAACTGGACATCCCGTGAACGAGAATTGGGCCATGTTTACATATCAGAAGCACAACATTAAATGCAGAATAAAATTATCTTTTATGTAGAGCAAAGTCTGACATTTAAAAAAAGCTTTTTCAAAACAGTACAACTGATTTTTTGC